TTGATGCTGCTGGTCACAGACACGCACTCAAAATCATCCAGCAGTTGGTTAGGAGGTGAGCTGTAAACCCTCGTGAAAAACAAGACTATCACCTGCATGTTAGGGCTTCAGAGGCTGAACTGATGCCCTGAGAACTGAATTTGAGCCTTTTTATTTGCAGTGAAAGACCTCTCTGAAATTATTTATCTTTGAGTTTTATTAAATTCTCAAAGCCTGTAGCATATAATCTACATTGCTCAACCCTCCCCCAGGAAATAAGTACAGGGTTTTCTTGCTCTTGAAGATTTGCAAAAGAAGTGCTTTACAGTTGATTCAAATCTCATTCTCATTCCTAGAAAAGTTCAAAGTTTTCAATCATTAGCACGTGGCCTTTTCCCTGTAAAAAGGGAGGATGCCACAAACCCACTTCCCCTCATGGGGAGGGTTATGGAGAGCTGAGAGAAACCTGTTTCTTGAGTTGGTCTAAAAAATTATGTCAATTAACTTGCATGTTAACCAAGAAGAAGGATCAGTTTAAGTCCCTATTTTGTGGTTAGCACAGAAACATACTGCTGAGGCTCCTAAACTGAGCACAGGCCAATTTAAAAAAGCAGATAGTTTGCAGACTATATGGTGTGACCTGAAAAACCTGTTTCCCTTGTTGGGTCTATCTCTTTGGTTTCTGTTGGACCCAAAACATAAAACTGTGGCCATTATTCTGTTTTCAAAAAGATCATTATTCCTTCTCTATTAGTTAGGTGGGGAGGAAAAAAGATGGCTCCCCTTGGATGTCCATGTCTAATCCCAGGCATTGTGGATGTGTTATCTTATATAGCAAGAGGGAATTTAGGTTACAAATGGAACTAAGGTGGCTAATCAGCTCACCTTAGTATAGAAAGGTTATTCTGGATTTCTCAAGTTGTCCCCATGTAATCACAAGGGTCTTAAAATATGGAAGAAGGAGAAAAAGAGTTGGAGTAACATGAGAAAAGATTCAATTGGTCATTGTAGGCTTTGAAGATGGAAGGAGCTATGAGTCAAGGACTGTGGGTGACCTCTAGAAGCTGAAAAATACAAGAAAATAGATCATCCAGCAGGAACGCAGTATTGCTAACACTTTTATGTTAACCCAGTTAGATCCAGGTTGGACTTCTTGTCTTTGGAACTGTAAGAGAATACATTTGTGTTGTTTTAAGCCACAAAAATTTTGGTGATTTGTTAGAGCACCAATGGGAATCTAATACATTTAGTATCCATGGGACTTAGTGCCCATGGGTGAAAGAAGCAGAAACTAGATATAATACATGATACAAGGGGGAAACAAATGCAGAATCATCAGAAAGAACTTGGAATCTGTCCAAGGGAAGCCCAAGCAAAAAAACCTTGTCTCTGCCCAGACCTCATATGCTTCCAAGAAACACATGGAAGCATGGGGGGATTGTTAAATTCAAATTACATTGCGGCATCTTCATGCTAACAGAAACAGGAGAAATTCTGTTGTTCTAGTGCATTCCAGTTCTTACATGATAAGTGGATTTGCCAGGGTCCCTCTGATGTTGTCTGATGTGAGCACCAGCATTTCTCCCTACTTACTCTCTGCAGAACAACAGGTGGACTGTCCTGGACCGGTTGGGGCCAGACTCACTAAGACTGTGTGTCTGCTTTTCCCAGAATATGCAAGCTTCATCACCCAACTTCCTGTGCTACACAAATTAAGCAAATTTGGAGGAATGCCCACTGCAAGTACACCTGCCATGCAGAGCTCAATTCAGAACAAAACTCATCTCCACAATCATAGAGCTATAAGGGTTGGTCTCTCATTCCTTCATTCTTACCACCACTCAAGACATCAGCAACTCCCTAAGTCTACTCTGCACCCCAGGATATCCCTCACTCATCTTCCAAAAGAGAACCTCCCTACAGACTCTAGATAACAACAAAGCCACAGTGCCTCCTAGTGGCCAGTGGGCAGATACAGCACAAACATGCTCTTGACAGGACCTGAGGGGGAGGGGTGTTTTGTTTCATGGAGTAAAAGGAATATGAGATATTATGATATGTTGGTGTTAGAGGATTAATAAATGAAATTGTATTACTATAGCATAAGATGGGCCCACGTGAAATTTGGACATTGGAGTCAGACATGTGGAGATGATAATGTCAGTTTTAATATTGATTAAATAACAAGACTCAGCTGTGAATCTGAGTGGACTGGCTAGCACTATACTGAATCTGAATTTAACTCATTTTTTCCCCTCCAACCTACAGGTGGATGCTGTAAGAAAAGAAAGTTGCCCAATAATCTGAGTACATGTTGAGAAAACACCAAAGAATAGGTCTCTTCATTAGGTAGCTAAGGAGAAAACAAGAAGATAGAGAATAAAGTAAGATGAAGAGATTATGTAAAGGAATGCGTTTGCCTTTCCATAGAGAAGATTCGACAAGAAATAAGAAAATTAGAACAGGAGGATTACTTTAGGGAAGTCCCCCAAAATGGGAAATATGGAATAAAGTGTTTTCCACAAGACTGGGTTTTAGAGGGAAATACAGTTAGTCATACATCAATTGCTTTCCCCAATCACTTATCTTTGGGCATACTCATTTAAAAAGCACAAATATGTCACAACAGCATTAAATGAATTCCAAGTCTGATCTTTACTTTTTGACCAAGTCTAAATATTCAGTTCCTATTTTATTTTCTATCTTGACATATGGTCCAATGGAATGTCAGAGGTTATGAGTAAAAGTAAAAACAAGTCATAAAAAACTCCAATAATAAAATGACAAAAAAAAATAACTGCCTCAATTTGGTTATGAACATATACCATTTACATTTTTTTCTTCTATTTTGGTTGAAATTAAATTTGAGATATAAATCTCTATATCATTTAAGTTAAATATTAAAGAAATGACAGACTAAGAATCTGACATTATTTTTTTTTAATATATTTTATTGATTTTGTACAGAGAGAAAGGAAGAGAGATAGAGAGTTAGAAACATCCATGAGAGAATCATCGATCAGTTGCCTCTTGCACACCCCCTACTGGGGATATGCCCGCAACCAAGGTACATGCCCTTGACCGGAATCGAACCCGGGTCCCTTCAGTCCCCAAGCCGACGCTCTATCCATTGAGCTAAACCGGTTTTGGCTCTGACATTATTTTTTTTTAATTTCACATAAACTTTTTTTTACCTTAATCCTGGTAATTACAGTTGAGAACATTCAAACTAGCTTTCTTTATCATCTAAATAGTTGGATAAAATAACATAAAAACCTTTAATTAATTAATGCCCTAAAAATATAGTGAGGGCTGGGTATCTTGGAGAAGGTGTGCAGAGAAAGGGCACAGCCTTCCCTTTCCCCTTAGAGGCATTGGCCTACCTTAATGCAGTGCTCATGGAGCTGACTCACAGGACAGTCAAAGGTCAAAGACCAGAATGTACCAAAAGAGGAACATTGATAAACTCAATGTAAACATGACCTAGGGGTAAATGTGTTCTCTGGCTGACCGAGGACACTCAGGCTTCAAGTGCTAATTCAGGCAGCCCCAGCTTACTTATACTTCCTGAAATGGGCAAAAGCAAGATACAATTCTCTTTGGAGAGAGATCCATTTATCATAGACAAAAACATCACATATAAAAATCCAGTGCCTGGCACCAAGTAAAATATAATCAGATTAGTAAGAAAAAATATACAAGCATCATGAGAGCACAAACATCATGACCCAGAAGCAGCAGAAAAAGAAAATCAATGAAAATAGTTCCATAGATATCTCCAATGTGCAAATTATCAGACTCTAAAACAACTGTTTCCTATGGTTAAAGAGATCAAAGATGATCTAGGAAGACATTACTAGGGGATTAATAATTAAACCATGTGACATACTGGATTGGAAAAGCAACCACATACAACTTTTGGCTAGGAGATAGTGGGATAGTTGTGTTCAACAATGATGGAAGTTTGTCAGACAAGTAAATTGGATGGAGACATGGGCAGAGGAGAAGAGTAGATATGCAATGAGTAAATGGACATATATTCTGACTTGTAGTCTTAGTTGGATAGGGAGGAAGTGAAGCCAGCAGGGGCTGAGTAGCAGTCATAATACCCTCAGGAAAATCTCAGTATGCTGCTTTCCAAATAGTTCCAACCAGATTTGCAGAATGACTAATAATTTTAGAGAATCCAGGTAGAAGATAGAGTTCAGGGCATGGACCTCAACACAATGAGTGTACTGTCAGATGTGATAATGGGATCAGGGGCAAATGATCATTTTTAGGAGTTTCTACTAAGAATTATTTTAATGCATTAAGGAACTGTTTAAATATACTAAGGCAGACAGATGGAAATATCTTCAACAGCCCTGAACTGGTTGGCTCTGGCCTGGATATACTGTTGAGCTGTGCTCTAACACTAAAGAGTTAGACTTCTCTGGAGAATTAGTTTTAAGCTAAGATTTAGGACTGGTTGTCAAGATAACCATTTGTGTGTATTCCTTTGAAGTAGGAAAAAAGACGAATAACATAGTTGAAATCATCAGCATCATCAACATCATAATTAACAACACATTTCCACAAAACAGGAAAAAAATGTTTTTAAACCCATACTATGTATTGAGACCTTGATGCAGAACATTTGCTAAGAAAGGCAGAGGGGAAGCTAGAGAGTGAAGGGTATCAATTAAAATCATTCAGATGGTAAAGACAACCACAGAAGGAGAGTCTACTACTCTCCTAGAATCAACACCTGGGTTATTATTAAAGCTTATTGCCTATTTTTATAAGACAACAACCCATCACTAGCCCATGAGGGCTGAGTCCATGATCCATGTCACTTTCAGTTTTGCATCCTTGAATTGTCACCAAAAAAGTGCTTCAAATTCCTGCGTCATCATTATTTTCAAATGTTCGTTTTGAGCTCTGATGTTTCAGAAAATAATTCATGACCTCCTTTCATATAGACCATAGTTTGTCTCTGAAGACCTGCTTTTCCCCCATGCATTATGAACATGGTAAAGCCTCTATTCAGAGCTTCTATGAGTGGGACCGAGAGAGGAGAACCCTGATGCTTTGTGTATAAGAAGGAAGTGTCTCTGTGATGCTGTGGCTGAGCTGCTGGCACAGAAATACACAGCTGAGTCACCCAGCTCTGCACGACGGATCTTGAGAGTAGAGTCTGCTCTTTTGGGCCTCTCTGCAGAAAATCGATCCTTAGGTAACCGTGAATCATCTATTATATCTTCATTCTCAAAGCGAACGAGCAGCCCCAGGCCCTGTCCTGGGGTCTGCTGGTACCAGTAAAGAGTTTGGTGGCCAGAAATGGGATTGCACCATAAAGTCACAGCCTGGCTTTTTTCTATGACCTTATGTCTGGGAGACTGGGCAACTCCACCTGCTGTGAGTTCTGTGGAGGGAAAAGACAAAGCAAATAGAAATGATTGGCATAATCACTGGAAAGATAACATACAGAGATCTTAGTGTTCTTAGACTCACCTGCCTGTAGGAGACAGAGGATCATCCAGAAGAGGAACCTGGTGCCCATCGTGGAGTCAGGACAGGAATGAGAGGTTCACCAAGTCAGGGTCCTTGTGAGCATGAGCAGAGATGAAGGGGTGTCCTCACAAGGCAGTCCCCACAGTGACATCACTGTCTCTGCAAATGCATAGTTTCTAAAACCAATTGTTAAGAACTAACACATACCTGCAAGTTTGTTCAGCACATTCATAGACTGTGTGTAAGTTCATCCAAGTGTCCTTCATTCACTGCTCCAGTGCTGAGTGATTCATTTGATTTTCCACTTCATCTCTACATCTCCCATCACCATCCTCTAACTCTCTGCTGGATGTTGCATTATGTAAGCAGTGAGGTAGAAAGGATTAGAGGATGGAGAAGGCCCTGAATGTTGGTATGGAAAAAGAAAACAAGGAAATGTGTGTTTCAAGTGGTGGAAATAGTACAGCTGTGTGCTCGGAAGTATTATGCTGAATCTCAGAAACCTAGGGCTTACATGCCACGGTTACCAAGTAAAGACCTGTAAGTGTAGAATTATCAGAACCATCTTTCTCCCTCAGAACTGCTCTGTCATTGAGACAGAGAGGCTGCTGGTCGGAGTCCAGCTTATGTTAGCACCAGATAATAATTCAATGTTGGAAACATTCTTCACATGGAGATGTTACTATTTGTTCCACCTTTGTGGCCAGGCGTTAAAGGTTTTAAATGACAATGCATTAGGGTGAGTAAAGACTGAGTAGCTGGAGATGGGTCCTATCGAGATACATATAAAATGCTTGAAATCCAGGCATGCCATTTCCAAAGAAGAAATCCTCTCTGTGTTCGCAGGCCCCACCTGCTTCCTGGGCAGCACATGGGCAGAAATCCATGAACGGATCTGAGTCAGGGCAGGAATGAGGCAACTTGCTGCTCGTTGCGGGAAAGGCTAGAGATCTGGGAAATCTGACTCTTGTTAAGGATATTTGCAGCAACTAAGACAAGCCCAGACGAGGTCTAGAATGATTTCCTCTCCTCTCCTTTATTCACATTGCGCCATCCCCTACAGCATCTGAGGAACAACTGGAATGGGTTAGGTTCGGGGTCCAGGTGCACATGTAAGTTTCTCTGATGGCTTTCAAAGGCAGTTTCCATTTGCAGGGGTCTCTGAGCATGGGGGCTGGCTCCTGGCTCTCCTCTGCGAGTCCTTGTAGTGAATGTCCAAACATGGGCATGTACTTAGGGAACCCCAATACAGTGCCTGCCACAGGCAATTTCTAAGGGCAAGACTTGTAAATGGCTTACATAACTTTTACCCACATCACATTGTTGCTGACCCTCCAACTGCAAGCGAGGCTGGGAATCCTAGAGGAGCCTGGGGAGTTGGTGACCATGAAGGGTCTGTCACACCATTCTTCCTCACTGGCTTCCCTTCCTCATGCTTCCTTCCAGAATGTACCTTACCCTTTCATGTTTTTGTTGTGTGTTTGATATACAAGGGTATAATTTAATGCAATTGAAGTTGCAAATGTCTTTGTAAATATTTGTATACTACATTACTTTTATAAATATTTACATATGTTATAACTGTGTTTGTGTTCTTTTGTGTCTTTGCTAAAAAAAAAAAAATCATTCCTTAAATGAATGCCTAAGTATATTTTAGTCATTTCTCCTAGTATTATAAAATCTAAGTTTTACTTTTCACAATTAAGAGTAAGCATGCTTAAAATATATTTTCATGCAAGGAATGAACTGGAAATCCAGAAATAAGAGCGTAAGACATAGGTTTCATGCAGAAGACATAGCTGTAAAAAAGATCTCTAAGGTGGTGGATCTGAGGAAGTAACTGAACTTAGATGAAAGAATTCAGGGCAGAGAGACTTATACAAGATGATCAAGGAGGTCAAGGGCAAGGTGAAGGACAAACATTACAGAACCTTGTAGGGCTATTGCCCCAAAGGAGAAAAGCAGCCAGTGACAGATTCATCTGAATAAAGGTTAGACTGTGAGTTGAAGGGTAATAAAGGGTGGGGGCAAGGGTGAAAGAAGAAGCCACTAAAGCCTGTAAAAGAGAGACAATGTGGGGACTTTGAAATTATCAATGGAATTTTCATATATCTTAATATACTTTTTTTTTTTTTTTTTTTTTTTTTTTACTGCAAGCAGGCAGAGAGAAAGCATCACAAGAGAAAACCAGTGAGCTAAGGAGGTTGGGGTGGCCTCCGGTCAGGCTGAGGCTGACCTAGGGATGTACTTCAGCCCTGAGGGCCATGATGCCATGATGCCATGATGTCCCCAGGCTGGCAGTAACTTCCTAGGGTTTAGCCAAGCCTCAGAGTGCAACCTCAAGTTTTCTAACCATCCTTTTTGTGCAGAGAAGAGGCAGCTATGTAGTGCTGTGGATTCACTGCTGGCACAGAAGTACACAGATGTCTGGGAGGTAGTAGCGGACTGCAGCGTGAGGGGGAAGTTCTCTGTGTTTGATCTCTTGACACTGTACCCATCAGGGACATCTCCTTTATCAATGTTGTCAACACCATATGAGTAATAAATCAGCTTCAGCCCATGACCCAGGTCTTGGCGATACCAGTACATATAGTCATGGTTATCAGTCTGGTGACACTTTATGATCACTTCCTTTTCTGTCTGTGTGACCTTATATCTTGGACTCTGGGTGATTCGGGCATCCAGGGGTCCTGTAAGAGAGAGTGATAGAACCTGATATTGTCATCCTAAAATAAAGGCTTGGGTTGAGGTTTTGGGAATCCATACTCACCTGCCCATAGGAGATAAAGAACCACCCAGAAGTGCCTGGTGAACATTTCAGGTCCAGGACAGAATCTCATGTCTTCCTGTTCTGTTTGGTGGAAACAATAGATTCAGTGATGTCACTGTCCTTGACAAATGCCTGAGCTGTAGAGCTAATCTGCCACACCCCTTCCCCACAGGAACAAATCAACTATATATATATATTTGAATAGTTCAAGTGGACAAATTTTGTAAGTATGTTTTTGGAAGAAATCTTATTAAGTATATGTGCTTTTTACTTAGAGAAGATTTGTCCCTCTATGCATAGTGACATAATTCCTTATTTGTAGACTGTTACATTTTTCACAATGTTTCTGGTACTTTGGTAATGAGATCAGGAAAAAAAGAGGAGTTTTCAGCCAGGATTCATATTTTTTGGTTTAAAGAACATGGAATCCCAGATATTTGAGGACTATTCTCAGAATAAGGCATAATCTACCCATAATATTAGTATTCTCAATAATACCTTAATTTCTTTAAGGACATAAGCATTCACCAACACTCAAGATTAGTTTCTGTTGTGTGTGGTTTTTGTTGTTGTTTGACTTTTTACACTGGTGTCTCCCAGCACTTGGAGTAGTGCCTACAATATATTAAATCCTGAAGGGTGGATTGGCTATGCAAGCAACGAAGAATAATTTCAGGCCTTCTCATTTGCATAGGACCTTACCAAGACTTCTGAAATATTTTTCTATTTTATTTTTCAAAGAGCACCCTAAACTTTGATAAGCTTTTATCCTACAAAGCTAAAACTACTCTGTACCTGTACTCAATTAGTGTTTGTTCAATGAATGATGAAAAGAATAAATGATGTCAGAGTCCAGGCAGACTGAACTTCTGTAAAGATAACCCAGTATAGTCAGTTACAAGTAGGTTCAAAGCTTGAAGGGAGCAGAGACCCATGTGACTCTGCTGGGAATTAAAAATAAACCAAAGTACACGAAGAAAAGATTCATTCATACATGTTATTATAAGACTTTTTGTTTTTATAGGGCTTTTTGAATGAATGGTTGTCAGAATGAAAGAAATAAAAATGACAGTAACTTCCTTTTATCACTGTCACCATTTAGGCTGCCCCTGGAGGCACAGTCTGAGATGAGGATTTAGGTGCAAGTAGTTTAGTTGGGAAATGACCTCAGGAAGCAGGAGAAAGAGAATAGGGAGGAAGAAACTAGGAAGGATAAAATTAGAATAAAGTGCAATATTGCGGTTGTGCTGGGGCATCAGGAGATGGATTTTGTTGGAACCTGCAGAGAAGCACACAGACCACCTCCTGAGCTGTCGTCCTGGACACAGAGTCTGAGCTTTCATCCCTGGTTCCTTTCCTTCCAGAAGCATTAGCACTTCTACAGCTCTGACTGCCCTGCTGTGCATACCACCTGGGTTCCTATAATAGAGAGGAGGCCAGAGCAGAAAGCTGAAGGATGCCTAGCCTGCAGTTGCAGGGTGCTGTCAGAACCAGCTAAACGCACACAAACTTGTATGTAATGGTTCACTGCAACTGAGGCTGATACCAGACGTGGGCCGGGAATGGATGGATGGCACTGGAGGTCGCACTATAATGGTCTGTCTTCACACAAAACTGTCCCTTCCATCAGCTCTTCTGTGTGATCACCAATCACTCTGAAGCCACAAGTTTCTGGAAGCACCACACCTTCTTGCACATCAGACTTATCATCAACAGGAAGTGCTGTCCTGGGTCCATTTTCCCTTAAGAGAACCTCTCAGTAGTTAATTTCATCAAATTAATTACCATACAACAATGTTTGCATTTCAGAGGGATTTCTGCCTGAACCATAGATGAGTCAGACAAAAGCAACCCCAGCCTGCCTTTGATCTTGGAACTACGCAACCTATATAATAAAGTGATAATATGTAAATTAACTACCATGCCTTAGCATAAAATGGCTGCCCCCATGTGGTCACAAGATGGCCAGCAGAGGAGGGCAGTTATAGGCAATCAGACTAGCAGGGGAGTACAGTTAGAGGCACCCGGGTCAGCAGGAGAGGGCAGTTAGGGGCAATTGGGCAGGCAGGGGAGGTGGGGGGCCGGGGGGGGGGGAACCAGGCTTGCAGGGGATGGCAGTTAGGGGTGACCAGGCCAGCAGGGGAGGGCAGTTGGGGATGATAGGGTCAGCAGGGGAGCAGTTAAGTGTTGATCAGGCTGGCAGGTGAGTAGTTAGGGGGTGATCAGGCTGGCAGGCAGAAGCAGTTAGGGGCAATCAGGCAGGCAGGCATGTGAACAATTGGAAGCCAGCAGTCCCAGATTGTGAGGGGTCCCAGATTGGAGAGGGTGCAGGCTGGGCTGAGGGACACCCTGCCCCCCTAGTGCCCAAATTTTGTGCATGAGGCCTCTAGTAGTAAATAACTGTGCTAGAATAGAGATAGGTCAAAGTGTTTATAGAGAACAATAGTGACATGAGCATATATTTTTTATTAAATAATTTTGCTTGTGCAAAATCTCTGCAAGATATTCATTATTGCCCCCTGGTTACAAATGCAAAAACTCAGACAAATATTTTCTGAGTCACCATCCCAAGGCTGATCAGATGAACAAACAGGTCTGGGAAGCTGTGTCTCTTTCCTCTTCAGCAGGTCCCCTCCCAGGTGAAAGCTGTTATGCAAATAATTTGTGTTAGAGCCTGCATTGCCGAAAGGGACCTTTGGGTCCATGTTCTCATTTTGAAGATGCCTCTCTCTACCAAATGCAGAAGAGTGGGGTGATTGAAAGCGTCGGTGGAAGTCAGTATGGCCTACGTCTGTGTCCCAATTCTGATATTTGTTAGCTGCATCTTCTTTACACAAGTATCCAAACTCTCTAACAATCAGTGTTTTCACTTGTAATGTGGGTGATTTGTGCTACCTCACAGAAAATGTGCAATAAAAAAGGTGATTGGGTTAAATGTACAAAATGTGTAGGAGTCTACTCAGTCTGTCAATGTCTACACCATTTATTTAATAGCTCTGATGCTCAGCTGTTTTCCGCAGTTCCTGACCTGGGCAGAAGTAGTGACTTCAGATGTTCTGATGGAAAGTGGGACCTGAGGACAAGGTGAGACCCTCCCTCCTCCATAACCTCCATTGGTTTAGAAACACTGATTCCTAACTGCCCCTAACTGCTCCCAGAATCCTGCCCAAAATTCCTGGAAGGCTTCTGTTTCCTTGGTGAATCTTCTGCTAGTCTGGAAATCACCCTAGTCACTTAGCTCTTCCATTAGGGGACATCATGGCCTCCCTCTATGTGAACTAGGACAGGACAGATACATGTTGTCTGACCCACTTTATCACAGTAGGAGTTCCTGTCATGTGCTAGGAATTTCCAGGTGCTGGCAGAGCTGGGAGAACACTCAGGAAAGCTCTGGCTGAACTCAGCAGGGCAGGGAGAGTCTTAGAAAATAACTAGAAGCCCTGGAATAAGCTAAGGCCCCTTCCCTTCCTGTGACATCCTCATCTGGGACAAGGAGGTTTGAGTACAGAAAGCTATTGACCCTGCAGCGCTGTGTCTAAGCTGCTGGCACAGAGATACACAGCGTAGTCTCCCAGCTGCAAGGCGCTCATGGACAGCTCAGAGCTGTAGTTATCAAACTGTTTTCCTGAGAACCGATCAGGGATGTTTCCTTTCTGTCTCTCCTCCTTTTCATAAAAACTAATGAGGAACTCGGGGCCCTGTCCTGGAGCCTGCTGATACCAGTATACAGTATTGTGTCCAGAGATAGGATGGCACTTCAGAACAGCCTTTTTTTATGACTAATGATTAGGTGTCTTGGGGACTGAGTGACTCCAGCAGCCACAGAACCTGTGGAGGAAACAGACAGAAACTGGAGACCAGCACAGAAAGGAGATGGACACTTGGTAACAGTCAAGAACTTTAGGTTCAAGGGATGTCCCACCTGAACTCAGGACTCACCTGCCCCCAGGAGACAGAGGGTCACGCAGCAGAGGAGCCACGGGCCACTGGAAGCCTCAGAAAGGACAAAACTGGCCATCTCCCAGTTCTGGGGTCTGGTGTTTGGAGTGAGTGAGCAGAGGGTTTGGCCCTCCCTGTGCTCTGCTTGGAGGACCTGCCTGTGATGTCACTGTTTAGATGTCACTATCTTTGTAGGCTCCACATGCAACCTGTACTTCCTGGACAGACTCAGCTGTTGCAGTTATTCCCCCATTCTGTCCATCTTCCTATGAATAGGTGCTGCTGGCTGTGCCGAGCTGGACCAGGCAGGATTTGTGGCAGGTGATCATTCCCAGAACTTCTTTGCTTCCTTGGAGCAGGTGCGTTTGTTCTATACCTGGCATGAATTATCTAGGCTGCCTACTAAAAGAAGCTCCATCACCCTTTCCACCAAACATAGGCTCCTTATCTCCACATAGAGCCTGGTTCATGGCTCTCTGCTGTGACCAACACAGCTGCATAGCAGTAAATGTGAGAAGATATGATCAGCAAACCTCTGATTCATCAGATAGTCTGCCTCATGTAAGGACCAACCCAAGACTCTGTCTCAGTTGGTTAAAACTGCAACCTCAGAGGAAAGGTAGGGGAGGGTGAGGGAAAGGGGGAGAGATCAACCAAAAAACTTGCCTAACCAGAGGTCAAGGACAACAAGGGGGTGGGGGCAAACAGTGGGGAGGGGTTTGGGATGGGAATGGGGGGATGAGGACAAATATGTGATACCTTATTCAATAAAGAAATAAAACAAACAAACAAACAAACTGCAAGCCACTCTTTCTTCCCTGCCCTGCATCGACTAGCAAATACACCAGCCCTTTCATCCCTTGGAAAGTAATATAAATTTCCTCACTGTATTTCTTTTCTTAGCTGTGAATTTTTTCATATCCCAAGTCACCAGCCAAACCCTAACATACAGCATATCAAGATTGGTGGGATGCTCCTACAAGAGTACTTACTGGGAAATCTGAAAAACAGTGAATAATTCCCTACTTATCCCAGTATCAAATGCAACAACAGCGACAGAGGTTCATACATTTCTGGAAGCCTCAGAAAGGACAAAACTGGCCATCT